GGAGGAGGAGGAGGAGGAGGAGGAGGAATAACTAGAAAGTGCAAAAACCCTGAGCTTTATCTCTAATACAAACAAAAAGATTTTGTTTCATTTTGGCAGCAATAAAATTTGAACTCAGGACAGACATGGTCAGAAGCTCAACTGCGGAGCCACATCTCTAGCAAATTTTATTTCTTTTTTGAGATAGGTTCTCACAGTGTAGCCCAGTATGGCCTTGAATTTGTGATCCTCATGCCTCAGCCTTCTAAACTGGAATTTAAAACATGAACCATCATACTCAGCTCAATTTTTCATTTTTTAATCTAAATACGTTTAGGTTAAACATGAGAACGCCTGGGTTGGTTGGTAGACAGATGAACAAACAAAGGAACAGTTCCATCTTGTCCTCAGTAAATATCCCAAGAAATACATAACCAAATCATGTTTTCTTAAAGCACTCTCATTTTTCAAGTTTTAGAAAACATTTAATTTTATTATCACATTCAAAGCAAGACCAGTCATAATCTAGCTTCTTTTACACTTACAACAACCATTAGACTTAGATTGTATAAGTATTATTTTGTACATCAGCATATGCTTACTGCCCCTCTTTTCTTACACTAATAATGGCCAGCAATATACTTTTCTAATTCATTTTGCATTCTTTACTTAATGTATACAGATAATCACTCCATGGTATATTTAAAAGTATTCCTTGTTCCTCTGTACAAGTTACATATATATTCTATTATGTGGATGTACTACATTTTAACAAACTACTCCCTATTGTGTGCATTTGAATTTTTTTTTGCAATTACAAATGAACAGAGCCAGTCCACAAATACAAGTATTGTACCTTGTGTCTCATTTGAGGAAGCTTCAGAAGGAGAGGAAAAGCAAGGTTACGAAAAGTGGAAATGAAGAGAGGAAAGAAGGATAAGAAAGATTACAAAAGGTGTTGAATATGACTAAAATACATTATATAACCAGGTGTCAGTGGCTCATGCCTATAATCCAAACTACACAGGAGGCTGTAATCTGAGGATCACAGTTTGAAGCCTGCCAATTACAGGAAAGTCCATGAGACTCATGCCTAATTAACCACCAAAGAGCCAGAAGTGAAGCTGTGGTTCAAGTGGAAGAACAACAGCCTTCAGTGAAAAAGCTAAGGGACAGTGCCCAGTCTGAGTTCAACCCCCAGTACCAGTACACACGCACACACACACACACACACAATCACATACCAAAAAAAGAAGTGTTAAAGAAATGGACTAAGAATAAGTATATATTAATAAACAACTAAAGGGCTAGGAATGTGGCTTAGTGGTAGAGTGCTCCCTTTGCATGCATGAGTCCTTGGATTCTATTCCTTGGTACCACATAAACAAAAAAAAAAATTAATTTAAAAAATTAATTAAAAATAACAGTAACTATGGGCTGGGAAGGTGGCTCAGTGGTAGAGTGCTTGCCTTGCATGCCTGAGGCCCTGGGTTCGATTCCTCAGCACCACATAAACAAAAAGAAAAAGGCCGGAAGTGGTGCTGTGGCTCAAGTGGTAGAACACTAGCCTTGAGCTGAAGAGCTGAGGGACAGTGCCCAGGCCCAGAGTTCAGGCCCCACAACCGGACCAAAAAAAAATAATAATAATAACAGTAACTAAAATTATTCTATTTAGATTTTTAAAAATACTAAATTTCAGCTGTGCACTGATTCAAGCCTGTAATCTTAGCTATAAAATAGACTGAGATCTAAGGATTTAAAGCCAGTCTGAGCAGGGGAGTCTGTGAGACTCTCATCTCCAGTTAACCACCAAAAAAGCCAGAAATGAGACTGTGGCTCAAAGTGGTAAAGTCCTAGCCTTGAGCATAAAAGCTCATGGATAGTGCCAGGCCCTGAGTCCTGGAGCTTGCCCCGGGACAGGCATCCCACTGCCACCCCTAAAAAAAATTTGTTTTTCTAACTGGGTTATAGAAATTAGGGAGGTAACTTGCCAACTTAGGTCCGCTGTCACACTTGTCTTGATTGAGAAGACACTTAACAAATCTGGGTTGTGTGTCACTCAATGACCAAACATATAAGAGAGTCACAGAAATGCATACCTGGCAGTCCTCCCCAGCACCACCAGACTGATTCAACACATGTGACACATCACTCTGGCTACCGCTTGAATGTCCAAGACGATGTTTAACAGGAACTTTGTTTAGAACATATGCCCCTGGTGTCTGCGGTTTGCCTATCATCTGCAAATACAAAAACATACATGTAGTAAAAATGTAAAAACATGACCAAGAATGGCAAAGTTAGAACAGTGACTACTCTGAGTAAAGAAAATCAGAAAATTGAAACAGGAGGGTGCCTTAATTATCTGTAAGGTCTTACTTCTTTGGATGTGTAAAATACGTCATAACAGCTGGGGTTTCAGAAGTTGTAGAGCATGTATGTGCTTAGCATACACCAAGCCCTGGGTTCAATTCCCACCAAAAACAAAAATTAATGTGTCACTACAAAATGTATATAAATACATATATATAGTGCACATATATAGTGTACATATATTGTGCATATATAGTGCATATATATTGTGGATGTATATTTGGTATATATATATATATAAATTATATATATATATATATAAATAAGAATTTTTTCATGTTGTCTCCAATATATAATGCTTTGAAGATGGTTTTTATCTGACAGTAGCTGAGTATGAAGAACAGTATGGAATGTGCAATTCTGAACTACATTAACAGAACATTAATAGTCCCAGGGTAATGGTATCACTCTTTCCTTCACTATTCACCCATTTGATCTTCCTGCCTCAGCTCCTGAGTGCTGAAATTACAAGCACGAATCATCATTTCCAGCTCACTTTTTTTCTTTAAGTATGAATGCATTTAGTTTAAACATGGAAACACCTGGGTGGAAATCATCATTAAGATCATTATCATAACAGTTGTAATGCACTTGTCAGTTTGTCCTTTCTTCCTTTCTTCATTCCAATATTTAGCATCAGGAATAAAATCAACAACAATCAAAACTCCAAGTCCCAGCCATCGTGGTGGACCATATCTGTAATTAAAGCACTTGAGATGCTAAGGTATAACAAGTTCAAAACCAGCCTAGGCTACACACAGTGAGTTTCCATCTCAGGAAAGGACGAAAGAATGAAAAAAAAACTGTAAAAACCCTAGTTTTCCTGGAGCTTTCAATATGAACTTTTTAGGGGAATGCTTAGTTTTGGTGGTATTAGGGTTTGAACCCAAGACCTTGTATTTACTAAGCAGGCATTCTACTACTGGAGTCACATTCCTAATCCTTTCTGCTTTTGTTATTTTTCAGATAGGATCTCAAGCTATTTCCTGGGCTGGCCTTGAACATCAATCTTCTTACCTATGCCTCCCGCTTATTTGTTGAGCTGTGATCTTTTTTCCTGGCCTAGAACCAGGATTTCCATAATCAATCACTCTGGGGTAGCTAGGATTATAGGAATGAACCACCTAGCTTGTTCTCAAGAGCTTTTTGTTGTTGTTGTTGTTGTTGTTTGGGGGGGTGGGAGGTTGTTGTTTTTTTTTCTTTTTTTGTAGGTTTTAACACTTGAACACAGGGCTTTAGCTCTGTCCATAAACTCCTTTGCTTAAGGCTAGAACTTTATCACTTTGAACCACAGCTCCATTTCTGGTTTTTGAGTGGTTAATGGAGATAAAAGTCTCACAGGCACTTTTCTGCCCAAGCTGTCTTCAAACTGCGATCTTCAGATCTCAGCCTCCTAAGCAGCTAGAATTACAGGCATGAGCCACTGATGCCCACCTTCCAGTTTACAAAGGAGTAAAATTTTTCTACATAGGAAAAAGCAGGACAAATGGGTCTTTTTTTTCTTTGGGGGGGGGGGCCAGTTGTGAGCCTAGGCGCTGTCCCTCAGCTCTTTAGCTCAAGGTTAGCGCTCTCCAACTTGAGCCACAACGCCACTTCCGGCTTTTTTTCTTTTTGCTTATGTGGTGCTGAGGAATCGAACCCAGGGCCTCATGCATGCAAGGCAAGCACTCTACCACTGAGCCATCTTCCCAGCCCCAACAAATGGGTCTTGAAACAAAGCTGACTTACAAAACACAGTAGTCCTAAATTCAAAGTGCAGTGGTTAACAGTACGTATGCATCACATCAGAATTTTTCTTAATAAACTTGTAGATCCATAGGATTCATATGTGGAGATTAACTCTATGGATGTGGCCCTACATGATACCCAGAAATCTGCACCTAAGTAAGTGATTATAATATAGAACAGCACACCTCAGACTTCAGGGTAGGTAAAAATCACCAGGGGAGCTTTTTGAAACAGATTCTTGGGCCTCACCCACAGAAATTCTGATTCAGTGGGATAGAGTTAGGCCCAAGAGCTGCATTTCTCATCAGCTCCTAGGAGATCATATGCTGGTTTGCAAATGGAAGTCATCATTAGCTTTAAAGTAAAAGATTCAAGAACTATGAACTAAAAAATACTGATTTGGAGAGTAGGACCAGAACCTTTCATCCCTAGTGAGCCAGATTACCTTCTGGATGCCTCCATGCACCGATGAGGGAGGAGACTGTGTCGCCATCACCTGCTGCGAATGAAGATGCTGCGGTAGATGATGGTGCTGCTGTGTGAGGTGACTCACTGTCTGTTGCTGTTGCAAGAGAAGCTGTGCTGAAGACTGCAATGCCGGCTGTTCATTATTTTCCCTATGCCACAAGACTCGAATGAACCTGTTGTTTAGAACTGCTTCTGTGCTAGAAATGGCTTTCCTGGCCTCCTCATTGGTAAGGTATTGGATGAGGGCTGCTTCTGGATCGCCCTTAAAGGCCACCTTTAAAGAAAATATTAGAAACAACATTAATTTATAAATAGAGAAGTTATAATTACATGTAGTCCACTATTATGCACTAAATTATGCTCCCTTTCCCAATTTTTTTAAGTAAAGCCCTAATATCAATGGGCGTTTAGGAATTAAAAGCAAAGTGGCAAAGTTTGGCAAGTGCAACTTCCAAAAAAAGAAGACATAAAAATATAGTTAAAAAAAGATCAAAGTTAAGTCCGAAGTTTGGGGCCCTGTTTACAAAGGATTCACAGACAAACAATTCCCCCTTTCTCTCTCTCCATGTGAAGACACAGTGAAAAGCTGCTGCCTATCAGACAGGAAAAAAAGTCCCCACCTGGAACCAATTGACCTGAGCTTCTGTTTATTTCAGTCTATGACATTTGTTATAGCAGTCTGAGTAGCTATTACAACTACCTACATTAAGCCATCTCCATTTAGGTGAATGCTGTAAAGAAAAAAGATTTAGGCAAAATTTAGCAAAAAAAGGATGGAGGACATTTGGTATGACAGTTAACATCTTTTGTACATTTTTAATGTGTAAAGCATTTTAAAAAAGAGAATGTGTGTATATATCCCTTCACATAAATATAAAAATTGAAGACAGGCACCCGTAGCTCATGCCTATAATCTTAGCTACTCAGGAGGCTTGAGATCTGAAGATCACAGTTCAAAGCCAGCCTGGGCAAGAAAGTCCATGAGACTCTTATCTCCAATTAACCACCAGAAAACATGAAGTGGCGCAGTGGCTCAAGTCGTAGAGCGCTAACCTTGAGCTGAAGAGCTCAGGGACAGAGCCCAGGCCCCAAGTTCAAACCCTAATACCAGCAATCTCCCCACACACACACAAGAGAGAAAATAAGACAAAAAGGGGCCAGAGACCTGGCTCTTGTCATGCAAAGGTCCCTGAATTAAGAAAATATATGATATATATAAAACATATATAATATAAAAATATATAACATATATTTATTTATATAGAAAGAACACTTGTCCATACAGTTGTATACACTGTATACAGTAAGCTGAAGGATTGTGAGTTTGAGGTCATCTTGGACTATACAGTGAGACCCTGTCTCAAAAAACAAAAACAAAACAACCCACATTCTCCAGCAATACTTTCATAAACAAAATTACATGTTGATTTGATAACCTGTATTGAAATAATGAGACTAAAATTTCAACTTACACTAATTTTCAAGTCTAATACTCAACTACAAATTAACAAATTCAAATAGCTAAGTGGATGGCAAAACATAAAGCTATTTGATCTTGGACAATATATTACAATGCTTAAAATTTTCAAAGAATAGACCCAACACTACCAATCACTATTTCACCAGAGTATGGTGGTCAATGGACAAGATTATAATCTTAGAAATCACAAAAAATTTCAACCCCCTAGATAAGACACAAGTGTATGTAGGGGAGAAAAAGTCACTTGTTCAAAACTAAAATTATGAAAAAACTCAAGAACCAATGCCAGGAGCTAGAGGTTCATGCTTATTATCCTAACTAATCAGGAGACTGAGATCTGAAGACAGATGGGGCAGGAGAAGTCTGTGAGACTCTTTATCTCCAATAAACCACTCAGAAAAAGCCAGAAGTAGCACAGTGGCTCAAGTAGTAGAGTATGAGCCTTGAGTAAAAGAAGCTCAGGGACAGTGTCTAAGCCCTGAGTTAAAGCCCAAGGACCACCAAAAAGAATTTCTTTTTTAAATTCAGCACTAGACCAGCATCTGCCAGGAATGAGCTATAGAAAAGAACCAAATGATTCACAAGAATAAATTTAACTTACCAATTCCATCATAAAGATATATACACAGATACCGAGTTTACAGCACTTAGCAGAGCTGATTAGAATGACAGCTGACTCATTTTAATTAAGATGAGCTGAAAGAAATACTTCCTAAGGTCCATAAAATGTATGGATTCTATTACTGATATAGTCACATTTACCTGGATATTAACAATAGTTCCAAATTTGCTGAAGTGTTCATTGAGCTTGGTAATGTTGTTCAATTCCTGAGGGATTTTTTTGACCTCTAATTTGGTGTTTGTATACTGATTCTTCCTCAAGAATCCTGGTTTACTCTGATTGTTATTCCCTTGCCTAAAAAAATATTAATAGATGTTGGTTAATTCTCTTAACATCATGCTTAACCAAAAGAAACATTAACGAAGAAGTTTATGCCTTAGCATTTAAAAAAAATTATTGAGCAATTTTTATACCTTCTTTTAACAAAACAAGTGAAAGGGGAAAAAATACCTGAATAATGAAATGTTACAAAAGCAGAGATTATATTAACCATCATATTAGTCTTTGTACAACTACTTAATAAAAAAAAATAGTAAGCCATGTTAAAAAAAAAACTTAATGGTGGCGCACACTGTAGCAGTGGTACTCACTAGACACTGATTAAAATGAACTTTACAACTTCTGTGGGGGGAGAGAGGGAGGGAAAAATTGGGAGTAAGGGAAAGGGTGACACTGTCCAAAAAAGGAATGTACTACTTTTTACCTGACTTGTAACCCTTTGAAACAATTAAAAGCTTAAAAAAAAAACTTAAAAAAGAAAAATTGAATGGTAAAGCAAAAAGAAAACTTTTTTCTTCTTTTCTAATTAATTTCAAGCCTCTTAAGACTTTTTTTTATTATTATTTTTTTTTTGTCAGTACTTTTACTTAATAGGACCTCCTGCTTGTTAGCAGGCACTCTACTACTTGAACCATTTCCCCAGGCCTTTAATAATTTTCAATATTGGTTTAGGTATACAAATATGTAGGTAAATTATAAGTATCTACTCTGAAAACATATTGGCTTTTCAATTTTTAGAACATTCCAACAACGTTTGCTCAAATCACAATTTTAAGACAGTTTGAAAATCACTGACTAATAGCAACTATAACAATTTTATAAAGAAAATACAAACAAAAAGAAAAAAGAAAAAAACACAAACTGAGCATTCCAAATCAGCAAATTATCTTACTTTCCCAGCCAAGGTTTCTTTGTCAGTGGTCCTTCCAAACCACTCATTGCTCTTTTCCGGCTATCAGGCTCAAGAACTACTCTGGTTATGTTGCTATTCATTGAAACAGGAACTGGAGGTTCAGTCTGGATGACAATATTAGCAGCTGTTAAGAACAAAAATTCACATTACTAAGTTTCATAAGGAACTTGAAATGATTAAAATACTTAATCCAAAAGCTAAAAAATACTGTGACTAGCACTCAACTACTACCATTTCCTTTTTTAGAAATTTCTAAGAGCAAGAAAATAAACAAATGCTTTTCTTTCATTTTTAAAAAATAATAAAGTCTTTTAAAAATGAAAGGCAACTCAATGTAATAATCAACTAAAATACAGATTACCACTAGATGCAAAAAGAAAAAAACAAAACCAGTGGCCATGGAGCGCTAGCCTTGAGCAAAAGAGCTCAGGGACAGCACCCAGCATCCAGGCCCTGAGTTCAAATTCCCACAATCAATTCCAAAAAAAAATTAAATAGCATTGTCTTTTTTTTTTTTTTTTTGGTCTGTCATGACTCTGGGCTTAGGCACTGTCCCTGCGTTCTTCAGCTCAAGGCGAGCATTCTACCACTTGAGCCACAGCACCACTTCCAGTTTTCTAGTGGTTTTTCCTGCCCGGGCTGGCTTTGAACCACGATCCTCAGATCTCAGCCTCCTAAGTAACTAGGATTACAGGCGTGAGCCACTGGTGCCCGGCTAGCATTGTCTTTTTAAAATAAGTATACTAGGGGGCTAAGAAGGTGGCTCAGTGGTAGAGCGCTTGCCTTGCATGCCTGAGGCCCTGGGTTCAATTCCTCAGCACCACATAAGCAAAAAAAAGAAAAAAGCCAGAAGTGGCACTGTGGCTCAAGTGGTAGAGCACTAGCCTTAAGCTGAAGAACTGAGGGACAGCGCCCAGGCCCAGAGTTCAGGCACAACCAGACCCAAAAATAAATTAATTAATTAAATAAATAAATAAAATAAATATACTTTAAAATTTGGGGGACAAAGCTATTAGGAACATTTGAGATGATAATAAAGTGCCCTTCAAAGTGTATAAGTCCCTCTAATTTCCTCAAATTAGGTCAGCAGTACAAATGCAGAAACTCTATTACAACTGCTACACAACATTTACCATCAGAAAAAGGTCATGCCATTCTCACCTCTTGGATTTGCATCCATGTCTCCAGATGTTAGGCCAATCAGGTTAGGGCGCTGTGTCTGTGTTCTTGAAAAGAATTGTCTGTACTGTGATCTACCAGAACTGGTAATACTAGGAGCTTCTGGGTTATAGCCATCCGGTTCATAAGTATCTGAAGGAAAATAAAATACATACTACATGAGACAGAGGTTAAAAAATATTTCTCATTTACTTTAAAATACTAACAATGCATATTCTTCAACAAATGTAATTACATCCATTTATATTTCATTTAAGTTACAGTACAGTACTTTTGGAAGTAAAAGATTAAAAAAACAGCGCTGTCACAAACTGTATTAATTCCCAAATGCTTATGTATCTCAAAACTCATTGAGCCATTTTTGTCTTAAACATTAATTAACTAATATGAGCTTTAATGCATATTTTTGAGATAAATCTTCATGTACACAAATGTTAGGTTTCAATTCCTGTACTTCTTTTTTTTTTTTTTGGTGGTACTGGAATTTGAACTCATCCTACAAACACCTGAGGTATCCCCTCAGATCTTTTTGTTTTGTAATTTTTCAGATGGTCTCACTTGCCCAGAGCTAGCCATGGATCTCAATCCTCCTACCTCTGCCTTTCATGTAGCAGGTATTACATGCAGAGGCCACATGTACACTTTTACAATAGGGTTTTACTAACTTTTTGCCTGAGCTGGTTTCAAACCACAATCTTTGGATTTTCACTCCTACATAGATGAAATTACAACTGTGAGCTACTGTGCCTGGCCTTCCTCATAACTTTCCTAATTAGGAAAAGAAAAAAAATTATCAATTATTCATTTGATTTATACTTTAAACTGGAAAGACAATAACTGGTTTCATATGTAAAACACATTTCAAAAAGAATTTGGTCAGATAAAATTTACATTTATAGTTGTTATTGCCATCCCTCTTCTTCTTCTTCATCATCATCATCATCATCATCATTATCATCATCTCATGCGTGTGCTAGTCCTGGGGCTTGAATTCAGGAACTGGGTGCTGTCCCTGAGCTCTCTTGTTCAAAGTTAGCACTATATTAAGCCACAGCTCCACTTCTGACTTTTTAATGGTTAATTGGAGGTAAGAGTCTGGCAGACTTTCCTTCCTGGGCTGTCTTGGAACTGGGAACGCAGATCTCAGCCTCCCAAGTAGCTAGGATTATAAGTGTGAGCCACTGGAGCCCACCTCACCAATTCATTTTTTAATTAATGTTTTCCCTATGTGTCTCATCAAAAGCCCATTTTAAAAATCCTAAGGCTAAGTGAACAATTTTATTGGTGTTAAAGGCAATTCTAAAAGAAATTCTAAAAAAGAAAACCAAATGGCATTTATCCTCTTCACTCCATAAAAAGTGAAACTGCAAAGGTTAAGACTATACTAGGGGCTGCGAAGGTGGCTTAGTGGTAGAATGCTTGCCTAACGTGCATGAAGCCCTAGGTTCCAGTCTTCAGTACCACATAAACAGAAAAAGCCAGAAATGGCTCTGTGGCAAGTGGTAGAGCGTTCATCTAGAGCAAAAGAAGCTCAGGACAGTGCCCAGGCCCTGAGTTCAAGCCCCAGGACTCGCCAAAAAAAAAAAAAAAAAAGACTATACTGATTTTCATAATTAGAATTTAGAAGTCCAGTCTTATTTTTTTAATGGAAAAATTCCTTGAGTAATCCACACCAAATATAAGCTATAATACACATTTAATTCTTTATTAAAGTCACTTCTGTGATTCAGAGTAAGATCAGCAATGATCCCTACAGTGAGTGTCCTAAAACTCTAAAGGCAGTGAATGGAAGTAATAAGCACTACTAGGATTCATAAGTTTCTAATGCAAATTTCTCACTCTCAACACTCTTAGAGAAAACCTTTCCTGTGAATATTGTATTCCCTAACTCCAGATCATCTGCAAATCCTCTCCTTTCACAAAGCATCAATAGACTAACCTGAGTCTAAACAATAAAACACCACTGAAATACAAGTGATTCTGAGACATCTAATACTAGAACAAGAACAAGAACTGCTAATCAGTATCCTTCTCACATTGCTCATACTTTTTTCCTTCTAGTTTTGAAAGCAGCACATGGCATCAATAGATTAAAACTGATTCCCTCTAATAAAATGTTAAACAATGTCTAAAGTTAGACTTCAGGGTCATTTTTGTGCTACTTTCCTCAGAGGAGAACATCTGGGAAAACTTTGTAAACTATTGTCACAATGATGTTCCTATTATAGAATTTGCCTTTCATTTTCAAAGCTTATATTGAGCCAAAGCTGTTTGACAATGGTTAGTCAAGAAAACTGAATGACTCACTTCAATAGTTAGATGGCTACAATACAATTATGTGATAAGAGTATTCTTTGAGCTTCACATTTAATTATTTCAGCTTCTGTTCTAATCTTCTTTTTAATTTTTGTTCAAGAAAAAGGTTCAAAAATAGTATTTAACTGTGAATATTCCCTATCAACAGAAACATAAATTGTAATGATAGCTTTAAAAAGCAAATCTCCGGCTGGGAAGGTGTTTCAGTGATAGATTGCTTGTCTTGCATGCATAAGGCCCTGGGTTTGATTCCTCAGCACCACATAAGCAGGAAAAAAAAGCCAGAAGTGGTGCTATGGCTCAAGTGGTAAAACACTAGTCTTGAGCTGAAGAGCTGAGGGACAGTGGCTGAAGAGCTGAGGGACAGTGCCCAGGCCCCGAGTTCAGGCCCCACAACAGACTTTAAAAAAAAAACAAATCTCATCTACTTGCTTCAATATATTTAAGAATTATATACTTTGAAGGTGATACATAAAATAATAGCTTCCATGGTTACAAATGCCAATTCTAAAACTTATATGCTATATGCACCAACCTACAAAATAACTGTTGATTCATCGTATGTGTATGTGTGTGTGTGTGTGTGTGTGTGTGTGTCTGTGTGTGTGTGCGCACGTGCGCACGCACAAGTGCATGCATGCACAAACCTGGGGCTTGAACTCAGGACCTGGGTACTGTCCCTGATCTGTTTTGTTCAAGGATAACTTATGAAAAAAAAAAAGGATAACTTGAGCCACAGCTCCACTTCAGGCTTTTTGATGGGTAACTGAAGATTAGAATCTCAAAAACATTCCTGCCTGGGCTGAATAAATTTGAACTGCAAGCATCTGACTTCAGGCTAACTAAGCAGCTAGGATTATAGGCTTGAGTATTGGCACCAGCTGATTCCTTTAAAAGAAAAAACAATCAGCACAATGTAATAAAAAGTTTGGGGTTTTTGTTTGTTTTGTTTTGCCAGTCCTGAGGCTTAAACGTAGGGCCTTAGTGCTATCTCCCTGTGTCAAATGCTCAAGGCTAGCATTCTACTACTTAGGTCACAGCTCTACTTCCAGTTTTTTTCTCTTTCCAGAGAAGAATCTCATGGACTTTCCTGCCCAGGATGGCTTTCAACCTTGATCGTCAGATCTCAGCAACCTCAGCAGCTAGGATTGCAAATGTGAGCCATCAGCACCTGGCATAAAAAGTTTTAAGTTATAATTAGGTACTAGTAACATAAAAACTTCCCACAGTTAGTTGGGTACCAATGGCTCACAAGTATAATCCTGCAGTTCAAGACTCCATCTCCAGAATAACTGATAAAAAGCAAGACTAGAACATTATCTAAACTGGTAGAATGTCGACTGAGCAAGCAAAAGCCATGCTAAGTCAGGTTGTGGTGGCACAAGCCTATAATCCCATCACTCAGGAGGCTGAGGTAGCAGGACAGTAGCCTAAGCTACATAGGAAGACACTGTTTCAAAAAAAAGTCCTTCAGGTAATAATGATGAAGCGAAATCTAAAGTCAAAGTATAAAATGTCTCTAAGGAAAAGTAAGAATCTCCTAACACACTAACAAAGCACACCACCAATTTTCAAATTACACAGGCCAATAGGAGGAAAGAGTTTTCAAGAATCACTATATTACATACATTACATCTATACCACAGGAGGTATGGGGGGCTTGTTTATCCAAAATCCAAACCAGATGTTTGTGTTTCATGTCAAAGAAAAACTAACCTTGTTTTTCTTCTAATATATAACTAATTAATTAGGAAACACTCAAGTAGATATTATCTTCCTACCTACCTGGTTAGAAACTAGCTCAAGGAACTATGTGTGACTTTGTTACCGAGGCACTGAAAGTAAATATAGAGGACACCAGAGATGACAGACACACAGGAGGCCTAATCATACAGCAGCCACAAGGGACGAACCAAAGCACAAGAACCAAAGCAGAAGAATAGAAACTAAAACTACCTACGAGCTTTAATGGGAATATGTGGCAGCAGATGAAAATGCCAGGTAAACTTCTTAGGCTGACCAGCTTATCATGCAAGACCAGTGAGGTGGATGGCCATCTATAGCAAAGCTTACCTGGGACCAGAGGGGTGGGGCTGGAGACTGAGGTATGATACCCAATGGAGGATCCCATGAGGTTGCGAGGTGGCACCAAACGAGCTGCCAACAGAGGAGGCGGTGTCCCCAACTGAAGTCGCTCAGATGCAGCAGCACCATGTTCACGAGAGTACATGGGCTGTCCTATAGAGGAAAGAATAGGAGGGCAACTAGGATTGAGAGTCACAAGCTTCTCTTAGACAATAAGCTAGACTTTGAGCCAAGAACAAAGAAATGACATGCACAGAAGTAGTAACTGAGAAAGATGACACTGAGATTCTTTCTAACTCAGAGGTTTAGACATGCAACTGGCCAGACTGCATCAAGGAATAAAAAAGTAAGAATGAGCTAGCACTGTGTAATTTCCACCTCTTACAATGTGAAATAGAACAATTGTGTACTGACTTTATCCAAAGCTGAACAATCAACAATATCCAATTAGAGGAAGGAACCCTTAGCTATTATTCACACCGAATTTAGTGTCCTCTGAGCTAGACACAAAGGCTGACACATGCAACCACACAATACATGGGGCTCCCACATTTGGGACCAGAAAAACAAAAATCAAGAAATAAGAAAGAAAGCACATCAACTATGCCCTCACAGAGAATATGAAATAGTCAAAAGAAAAAAAAAAAAAAAGAACTTAAAATGTGTTGTCCCTGTGAGCAGATCAGTAGCAAAAAACAAACAAAAAGGACAAAATCTAAATAGAGCAGCACTGGATATATGAAATTACACAGATATTAAGAAATATGTTTTGAAAGAAAATACACTAAGGGTTTCTTCTTATTACTAATACAAGAATATAGACACAATGATACCAAATTCTGCAGAACAGGGTTAGAAAAATACAAAGTATCAAGGAACAAAGCCATCCCTTGATCAGCTATTCAATAGTTTTTTAACTCCTGACAACCTTGTGTGAGACATATATCTTTCTTTATATCCAAAATCAGCCATTCACTACAACACATGACAGAGGAAATTTAGAATTTTTTTAGCACACGATACAATGTTAAGTTTTAAAACCCCTAAAGATTTTTAATGTACCTTAATAGGACAAGACACAAAAGCAATCACTTGGATTACTATTTTGTGGTGAGAATAAAGATTCAGCCATTATACTGCAAAAACAATTTAGCTTATCAGTGACCTGAAAATAGTTTAAGCATGGTCCATTGCAGAAAATCCTTGTGAAGAATGATGGATAAGGAGAATGAAGTAGAAAGCTCAGGAGAAAAATGGAAGTACAATATCAGCCCATGGGACTACTTTAAATTTATGATATCCCACAGAATGTACCAAGTATATCAAATCAATAACTGTCTCAAAGTAAACAGAAACTAAAAGGCTAGTTTGCTCAATGTCAAATGGTGAAGATTCATATTGAAATGGGCAACATAACAACTAATGCAACATGAATCACAAGGGATGAAAGACTCTAGATAATACACAAGGACTAAATTAGACACCAATTCACTTTCTATTCATAAAGTCCATTGTCCACATAAACAAGTATGATGTATCCCACAGAAGTAAATGAGCAAATCTCACAGAAAAACAGTGTTTTAGTAATTTTTATGTGGCTAATAATTGGAAAAGTTTTCTGAACAATAAAGATTATGTGGATTCAAGCTAAAAAATAAACAATTACTCTCAACCTAAGACACAATCTACAGAACGCAGTATTTATATACTTCTATTACTTTTTGGCATATCCAGTATTTCTAGTCTGTTTCAAAGAAAGCCAGTCATCAAATCAGGTATAAGGCAGAAAAGGAGACTTTTTAAAATAATTATGTGTTGGGCTGGGCACTGTTAGCTCATGTCTGTAATCCAAGTTACTCAGATGCTGAGATCTAAGGATGCTGATTCAAAGCCAGCATGAGCAGCAAAGTACCTTAGACTATTTTCTTCAGTTAACTACCAAAAAGCCTGAAGGGAAGCTGTGGCTCAAGTGATAAGAGCACTAGTCTTGAGCAAAAAAGCTCAGGACCAGTGCCCAGGCCCTGAGCTCAAGCCCCAGAATTGACACACTCACACACAAAAGATCATGTGGTTCTTTGGTCTTTGGGCTGGGGGAAGTGGGGGAGGGGGGGAGGAGGTTGTAGCTGGAATAGAGATTTCCGAAGTACACTAAATTGATGACTTTGAAACTGGATAAAATGTACTTCAGTAACCATCACACCCAGAGCAACATTCCCAACCCAAGATGATTGGTTAACAGACATATGATATTGCTGTCTTGCAAAATAATTTCAATTATACCTCATTATTTAAGTCACATTCAAAGGATCTTTGATGTTTTGACCCAACAACAACAAACCCCATGAGTTTTTCTAAATTATACCTTTTCATATTAGCTTTTAAATGGAATTACTGGGAAGCACATATATCTTACCTAACTTTCTTATTGTTTTACTGTTCAACTATCCTCTTCCAAAACAGTCTAAGTGAATGCTTTATTTGTTTACATTACTAGTCACTTTGTTATGACTGTTGGGTGGTAGGTTGAATGGTGGTTGGTTGGTTGATTTTCTTTTGAGACAGAGTTGCATGATGTTGCTATGTTGTCCAGGCTCACCTAAAATCTGGGTCCTCCCTGCTTCAGCTTCAACTTTTCAAGTGCAGGTGAAAACTACATGCCCAGGTTAAATTATTAGTTTCTTTGTTAAATGTGTACCTGAAGCACTCTTCCCAATAGTAAAAAACATGCTGTAATTAGTTTTTAGTTTTCTAAAACAAGTTTCTTCTACATCATTAGATTTTTTTATTCTTACAGAATGAAGCACTGCTGTTCTGTCTGCATATTCCCAGTACCTAGCACTAAGCAAACCCTTACCTCTCAAACTCCAGATTTCATTTACCACTTAATATATACCACTTAATATATACCACTTAATAGATTCTTTTTTGAAAACAATTTTAATGGCAATAAAACATTCACAATTTAAAATCTTCCAACTTGTTAAATTATTACAATGAAAGCAAAGTTGTAATTTATATGTATCAAAAAACCCTCAACAATTTTAAGGGTTCTGCTTCTGTCTCAAAGACAGGATTTTTTTTTAAGCTATCTTAAAATTACCTGAATTGAAAGATATAAAAAGTTTTAAACAAACTATACTATACCTTCCAACATTTTTTGTTTAGTGTTTAGTTTGCTATACTCCTATGTTTTCAAATTTCTCTATATATTTTAGAATCAATGTTTAGGTTTTTAAGAAATGATGAAAATTCACAATTTGTTTGCATAAAACTGGGAAATGTCTAATGCATTTATTCTATAATTTTCTAAATATACAGTTGTCAAACAATTCTATATAAAAACATCGACAGAGCATATAAAACTATAAGGTAATAATAATGTCAATGGGAAGTTATCATGTTTTACTGATCATGGAATAAAAATAGGGGGAAATAGTGTATCATAAAACCAAATATTAAAAATTACCCTTTATTCTGAGACTTTATCTTTTCTTTCTAAATTTGAAAAGATTCTAGCTACTTTCCTATACAGTCCTTACCATGACAAAAGAAGCAGTTGATGTTATTTGTCCCCAAACTTGTGTTACAAGTATCACCATTCTCTAAAACAAATGTTTGCAATTTCTAAATTCTAAGAGGAACTTACTGATACTCTACAAAATATTCTTCCTTTTTAAAGGTAGGAGAATCATGGACTTCCTGCCATATGCAGTCTGACAGCTCATTCATTAGCTCCCTAGTGTCCAGCACAATGACTGACACAGTGTACACTCAATAAATACTTGACAAATTAATGAATATTGTTAATTTATTAAATGAAATAAGGTGTAACTCTCAGATTTTTAAGAAATTAAAACCAAACTGCTTAGAGAGGGAGTTTCAATATTAAATTTGAACAATATAGAAATGGTAATTTAAAACAAAATGGAGCCAGGTGCCAGTGGCTCACATATGTAATCCTAGCTACTCAGAAGGCTGTGATCTTGAGGATTGCAGTTCAAAGCCAGCCCAAGCAGGAAAATCCATGGGATTTTTTTCTTTTTTGGGGGGAAGGGGGCCAGTCTTGGGGCTTGAACTCAGGGCCTGGGCACTGTCCCTGTACTTCTTTTGTTCAAAGCTAGCACTCTACCACTTGAGCCACAGCATTACTTCTGGCTTTTTCTGCTTATGTGGTACTGAGGAATCAAACCCAGTGCTTCATGCATGCTAGTCAAGCACTCTACCACTAAGCCACATTCCCAGCCCATGAGACTCTTTATCTCCAATTTAACCGCCAGAAAACTGGAAGTGGTGCTGTGGGTCAACATGGCAGAGCACAGCCTTGAGCCAAAGCTCAGAGACAGCACCCAGGCCTTGAGTTCAAGCCCCACAATAACAACAAAAAAGGAATAGTTATCATGACTCACAATAGTACACTTAACAGTACAAAAAAAAAATGTACTACTACAACAGACTCTGAGGTAAATAATCCAATTGTTCATATTTGTAAGTCCAAAGGACATTGAGAAATAATATTAACAGCTAACTCAAGTAGAAACAGACGAAAGACTGACCACAAGCTGGTAATTGTTGGGGCTGAAGAATGGTTACATGGGACATCATTAAAATGGACACATTTGAGTTCATTATACTGTATTTTATGCATATTTAATATTTGCTTTAAAATAGTAAGACTATCAACAGAATAAACATACACCATGAAAAACACTCATCTGAGGATTGAGCTGTTAAACATGAAACAAGGATACTTAAGATTTCTGTTCTAAAGAAGGTCAGCCGAACCTAAGATTCACATACTTAAAATCAGATATAAATATATACATAAACATACATAAATACATGTATATATTCATATATCTGTGGATACATATATGAATACCCATATGAATACATATATGAATACCCATGTGTTTAACATCATTATAAATCATTTGGTTATATGAGTTTAGAACACAGCAATAATGTTCCTCAAGTATTTAGAAGATTGGGCCTTGAAAGAGAAAGCACATGGGCAGTAGTGAAGAAGGAAAAACAAAGCTAAGTTACAACAGATAGAGTATAATTGGTCTGATCAGAAAAGGAGCATATTGCCGGGCACTGGTGGCTCACGCCTGTAATTCTAGCTACTCAGGAGGCTGAGATCTGAGAATCACAGTTCAAAGCCAGCCCGGGCAGGAAAGACCGTGAGACTCCTATTTCCAATAAACCACCAGAAAACCGGAAGTGGTGCTGTAGCTCAAGTGGTAGAGCGCTCGCCTTGAGCTGAAGAGCTGAGGGACAGAGCCCAGACCCAGAGTTCAAGCCCCACGGCCGACAAAAAAAGAAAAGAAAAGGAGCATATTGGGAAGTAGTGTAAAAGAAGAAAAAAAAAGGAAATTATCAATAAAAGAGTGGCAAGCCAGAAGCAGGGGCTCCTATCTGTAAATCTAGCTATTGGAAGGCGGAGATCAGATGGACAATGGTTGGAAGCAGAGAAGAGCAACAGTTCATGAGACCACCAACTCACCAATAACACTTGAGCATAGTAGCCACACCTGCTATCCCAGCTACCAAGGAAGCATAAAAATACAGAAAGATCACGGTCCATGCTGGTCTGGACATAAATATGAGATCCTATTTTAGAAAATAACTAAACAAGCAGAACTGGGGGCATTAGCACAAGTGCTAAAACACTTGCTCATCAAGTTGGAGAATCCAAGTTCAAAGCCAGTTATGGTTCAAAAGGAAATAATGTCTAGAAAGAAAGAGTATGGATCAAGTTGTAGAATACGTACCTACCAAGACAAGGCCCTGAGTTCAAATCCTAGTACCATGAGAGAACTGGGGTTGAGAAGAATAAATCCGCACATGCGTGCACATGCGTGGGCACAGGGACGCAAAAAATTAAGTTTAGTAGCATTATGTGGAAGAGCACCAAGAAAGCTGTAGCCATTAGCCAAATGTAAGCTGATTCAATGGTAGATGAGGACAAAGGTTATAGAAGAAGTACAGATAATAATTTCAAAGAAAAAGAGAAAGGATTTTTAATTGTTATTTAGAAAACCTAAGGAGGGCTATGAGTACAGCTCAGAGAGAGCACGTCTAGCATTCTAAAAGCCTTGAGCTCCAACCACCAACAGCGCCAGCATACACAAGGAAAAAAAAAAAAACAATTGTGTAAAGGTTTGGATTCTAGATGATCTGGTGGGTCTTATTTCCACTGATAAGGACTGGGGAAGGTAGAGATTTAAGGAGAAGATGGCTTGATTGCAGAGATTAAAATTGGAAGAGAAAAGAATAACTACAATAATATAGTATCTCATGAAATATTAGCTTATGAAATGCCTGACACTTTTTAGATGCTTTCTATCATGACTTCAAAATGCAAGTTAATTTATTCTTCAAAAGAACCTTATGAAGTAACATTTTTACTGTCATTTTAAGAAAATGAATCTTCAAGGTCATAAAGTCCTTGTGAAGGAATTAGTAATAGGATCAGAATTTTTAACCTGGGCTCAACTAGTTTGCTTAGTTGCCTCTATTGACATGAAAGAGATGAAGAAAAGTACAGGAGGCAAAACAAACTGTTATGTACAAAACAAAGTGAAATAGTTCTGCAAAGAAAAGTCTCATAATCTGATATCTTTTTTTTTTTAACAACCAACTACTTTTTAAAAAATATTTTTGGAGAAAGGAAATTAAGAGTCAAGAAAAGCATTATTAGGCTATACATTATTGTTATATAACCTAAATGTTACAATTTAAATGATGCCGTTTACCTTCAACATGAAAGTTAAATAATTACTAAGCATATTTTGTAATATATAACCCTTGGAATAACCCTTTTGAATAACCCTTGGAAGACAGGCTAGAAGTTTTAGAAATTATTCCAGAAGCTTCAAAAAAATTTACTTTAGGAGAAAGTTTGCAACAGAGGAGACTCCTCCAAAACAGAAGCCTTCGCCTTTCTTTCTTCTATCACACAAAAGTAAAATATGGCTTTATAACCACATAGTAAATTGCTCTGTGGATACAAAGATCACACTCAATAATAGAAATTAATTTTCAAAGGGTAAAACTGGTATGGCAAAGCCAGGTTTTTCTACACCTTGGCAATTTTGAGGCAAGCATTTACTTACGTTCTGATACTGTGTAAAGGAGGTTCTGGGGTAGAGGAGGAGGTAGTCTTGCTCCAACTGGTGCAAGATTGGGCACTGAGCTTGTCCCAGGCTGGTCTCGGCTGTTTATCAAGTTTGACTGTGATATGGGCGGCCCTACACGTTACAGAAAGTAAGAGGAACAGAGTAAGTGTTTCCTTATAAAAATAATAAACTAGTAATTTAGATATCCATACTTAAAAGATCTACTTGGAGCTAAGCATATTGGTGCACACCTGTAATCTTAGCTATAATCAAGAGGCAGAGCAGAGGGATCACAAGCTCAAGACTTGCTCTCCAGCATCATTATCTCAAAATCAAAATACAAGCAAAAGGGCTAGGAATAGCTCAAATGGCAGACTACTTGCCTAGCATGGTTAAGGCCCTGGAGTTCAATCTCTAATACTGACCAAAAGAAAATTAAGTTCTATAGGGGCTTTGCATAGAAATAAGGTATTGAGATATACAAGTTTCAGCACTGTGAGTTGAAATAATAAATTAACATTCTTAGTTCTACAAGAGGCAAAATTAAGAGTGAAAAAAAGCCGAACTGGCTGTCTCTGAAGTGACAGCAAATTTCTATTTCTTCATAAATTCAAACATACTCAGTGTCTACCTGATCAGGTAAAAAATATGAAAAATAACAATGCAGAAATGGAAAGCCATGTGATGATGTAAATAGAGTAAAACCTGATAGCAAGGCTAGGAGCTAATGGCTCTCACCTAGAGCCCCACCCGGAAGTCCATAAGACCTTTGGTTTTTTGGGGGTTTTTTTTTTTGGCTGGTCATGGGGCTTGAACTCTGGGCTTGGGCGCTGTCCCTCAGCTCTTCAGCTCAAGGTGAGCGCTCTACCGCTTGAACCACAGCGCCACTTCCACTTTTTTTTTGGGGGGGGGCCAGTCGTGGGGCCTAAACTCTGGGCCTGCACACTGTCCCTCAGCTCTTCAGCTCAAGGCCAGCGCTCTACCAATTGAGCCACAGCGCCACTTCTGGCTTTTCTGCTTATGTGGTGCTGAGAAATCGAACCCAGGGCCTCATGCATGCAAGGCAAGCACTCTACCACTGAGCCACCTTTCCAGCCCATCCATGAGACTCTTATCTCCAATAAACTACTCAAAAAAAGCTTTAACTGGCCCTATGGCTGAGGAGCTGAGGGACAACATCCAGGCCTACTGACTAAATAAACAAATCTGATAGCAAGTATGGAGGTAGAAGTCTTTCAACTTGTCTGGTTCCTTAAAATTTTTCATAATAAGGAAGTGGCGCTGTAGCTCAAGTGGTAGAGTGCTCGCCTTGAGCTGAAGAGCTGAGGGACAGCGCCCAGGCCCAGAGTTAAAGCCCTATGACCAACAACAACAAAAAAAATCATAATAAAATATAAGGAAAATTACATTCTTGGGCATAACTTTCATACAAAAATATGTTATTATCTTCCATTGTAAAAATTTCTCTATATAAAATACTTCTTGGGCTGGGAATATGGCTTAGTGGTAGAGTGCTTACTAGCATTCATGAAGCCCTGGGTCTAATTCCTCATTTCACATAAACAGAAAAAGCCAGAAGTGGTGCTATGGCTCAAATGGTACAGTGCTAGCCTTGAGCAAAAGAAGCTCAGAGACAGTGCCCAAATCCTGAGTTTAAGCCCCAGTACTGGGGGCGGGGGGGAAAGGAGGGGGGAGAAACACCCCAAAACTTTATCTAGAAAAGGAAAATCTCTGCTTGAGTGTCACAATTATATTGTTTATACAATATAGATTGGGGGCATAACTCAATTGGTGTTTGCTTCACAAGCTCAAAGTCCTAGGTGCAATTCTCAATTCCATACCACAAGGGGAAAAAAAGGCCTCTCTCTCTGTGTTCCCATCTCCTGGACATCAAATAAATGCTCCTTTTTCCCTTTTTTATTTCTGCCTACTTTCTGCTTAGTACATAAATCCTTGCTAAATTAAAAAAATTAATGCTATTTTAATACATTTTGTTGTTTTTGAAATTACTGGGGTTTGGACTCAGATCCTTGGGGTTTGAACTCAGAGCCTTACACTTAGTAGGAAGGTGCTCTGCCAATGAGCCATTCCTCCAGCCATTTTTTGCACTGGTTATTTTAAAACAGGATCTCACTTTTTGTTCAGGCCTACACCTGGACTGCATTCTATTTTAGGCTTCCCACTGTAGCTAGCTAGGCTGAAAGGTACAAATTACCTTGCCCTGTTAATGATTTAACTTTTTGTTTGTGCTAGCCTCAAACTGCCATCTTCCTATTCTCATATTCTCCACTAACTAGGATAATAGGTATGAATTACCACGCCTGGCTTCAATATTTTTAAAGGGATTTTTCTTTAAACACTGGGAAATTTCATTAAATTACTACAGGTATATTCTTACTCTGACATCTTAAAATGCTACCAACTAAATATAGCATAAACTACTACAGACAAAATTTTTACTGGAGGTACTATAAATAACACTATACAACAGTACATGTCAAAAAGAAAGAACATCTTAATTATGAGAATATGTCCCAAATTCCTCTACTGTTTTCCAAACACTTTAGAGAGTTACTATTCAAAAGAGACAAGATTCTTCTAAAAAGAATTAATCACCAAAGATTCAACCAACATACACTTACTTGGTATGGGAAGCACAACAGAAGGTGGAGGCTGACCATGTCCTTGAGGAACAGGAAGTCTCATATTGTGGCCAGGACCTGGGCCTGGGCCTGGGCCTGGGCCAGGGCCAGGCCCAGGACCAGGGCCTGGGCCAGGGCCTGGCATTGGAGGCATTAACATTCCAGGAGGTGGTGGAGGAGGAAGCCCAGGAGGAGGGGGTGGGAAAGGAATCATACTTGGCAGAGCAACTTCATCAACAACTAGAGGATCATTTCCATGATCAAACTGACAAAGGTCACCAAGCACACAGAATCCTCTTTCTGTAAGAATAAAAGAAAGAAATCTTTTTATCTACTTAGAACAGAAAAATCCACTATTCTAATTTACAACTCTGTACATATGCAGTGTGTTTAGAAAGATACACAAAAAGACTAGCAATGTGGCTTAGTGCTAGAGTACTTGCCTAGCATGCATGAAGCCCTGGGTTCAATTCCTCAGTACCACATAAAAAGCTGGAGGTGGCACTGTGGCTCAAGTGGTATAGTGCTAGCCTCGAGAAAAAGAAGCTCAGGGACAGTACCCAGGCCTTGAGTTCAAAAAAAAAAAAAGAAAGAAAAAAGAAAGATACACAAAAAACAGAAAAAGTTAAGTTGGCCTTAGGAAAGAAAACTTAGCTAGGGAACTAGAGTAATAAGTTAACACTGGAATTACAACAGGACTTAATTCATTATTTAAAAATAAAAGGTAAGACCATAAGCGTTCTATAGTTACAGAAAAGAAATGAGGGCTGGGACTTATGTTTAATGTTGAAGTGCTTGCCTTACAGGGTGAAACCTACATTTTGATTCCTAGCACTACGAAACATAAAAGTTATGACAGCTATGATTTGCTTAAAATCAAAGGTAAAAGTAGGTTAAAGTAAAAATGTTTTTAAAGAGGCTGAGATAGTAAGGCAATTAGTCAAATTCTTGCCTAGCAACCATGAGGCCCTGAGTTCAAACCCTATTTTGGCTAAAATAAGAAAAACATTGCCTATGAATTAGAAACTGCTGAAACAAGGTTATGGGTATACTAGGAGTTATATTTGTCATAATGTGTGTGTGTCTGTGTGTGTATATACATGCTTTTTTGTCATTTATTTCCAAAGTAAAAAGTCATTCAAATGCAAAGTCAGCACATCAAACCTGCAGGTTAAAAATGCTTAGATTCTCAGCACTTAAACACACTACATAAAGACAGTTTTATTCCAGTATCTACAATATTTCATGGTACATTCATAGTGTGAGTGCTAGATCTTTTGGGGGGATGAGAGCAGGGAGTCAGTTGTGGGGCTTGAACTTAGGGCCTAGGTGCTATCCTTGAACTCTTTTGCTCAAGGCTAGCACTCTACCACTTGGAGCCACTGCACCACTTCCAGTTTTCTGGTGGTTAATTGGAGATAAGAGTCTTGTGGCCTTTCCTGCCTAGGCTGGCTTTGAACTGCGATCCTTAGATCTCAGCCTCTGAGTAGCTAGGATTTCAGGTGTGAGACACAAGCACCAGGCTATGTTAAGATTTTTTTGTTTTGCCAGTATTGGACATTGTACTTAAGGACTGTTGTTCATTCTCAGTGGTACTCATCACTTCAGCCATACCTCTAAGCCAAACTTAACTAAAATCTCAACTATTTTTACCTCAGCTGGCTTAAAAATGCAATCCTCCAGTTAGTCCCTTGAGTAGCTAGGATTACAGTGTGAGCCACTGGTGCTCAGCTTTATAGTACTTTAAGAAACAGTAACTAACACACACACACACACACACACACACGCACGTACACGTGCACACACACATACAAACAAAGAATCAAACATTCTTTTGACAAGACTAAACAGTAAATCAAACAAGTAACTAAGAATATGCCTCTCCATTCTTCTCCATTCACTTTTTTAAATAAAATTTGGACTACAATAAAAAAAGTATGTGATATATACAACATTTGCTTTACTAGTTCTTTTGGGCACAATAAGAGAGAAGGAGATTCTTACCATCATAATCCCTGCATCGCCTCTTTGGTGGTGCATTTCGAGCAAAAGAATTGGAAGAGTTATGGTTGTTATAGTAATTAGACCAACTCTCAGTTGTGTTTTCAGAATGGTGAGCAGGTGCAATCACAGTAACGGTGCTGGGAATAGACTGTGCCCCAGAAGAATACTGCTCTGAAGAGTTCGGGGGTGGAGCAGAGGCAGGCACATAGGAACTCTCCAAGTCATTTCTTTCACTCTTAAACTTTGATCTTTCCCTGTGCTCTGCTTTAGAAAGAAAATAAAAATAAGAAACAGAGATGACACTTTATATTCTCACACTGTTTTTTCACATAATAGGAAAGATGAGAAAATTAAGCTTACTAAACTACCTGAATTTAAATTCCTCTTGGTAATATATTCTAAAAGCAAGAACATCAATATTCTGACAAATCTTGAACTAATAATTTGTAGAAAATCTTGTTTTATAATATTAACATGAAATACACTTAAAAATTAAAAGGCTCAGCTTCTTCACTTATATTTATCTAAAAACTAAATTCCAAACTGTTATTTTACAAGATCAGTGATTGGGATCCCAGCAATCTACTTATTTTCTTTTTAATTTTATAAACACAAGTCAATTACTTTTAAGGGGAAAAAAAAGCAAAATCTGGCAACCTTCTTCCTCAAATGGTAGCTCTGAATCTATTATAGAAAATGACTTAAGTCTAGACATGTACTATACCTTATGAACAGGTCTTATTTGAAAATCCAACTCCCCTCTAGCTCCAACCAAGTATTGTCACTTACCAAAATCAATATTCAGTCTTTTTAGATAATTTCAGCTTTTATGTTGCTTAAGAATATTAAAAGGAGATTTATCTTTAATGGTATTTCTGTGTCCATGCGCTACAAGCAACTACAAAGCTTTTAGAGAAGACATTTTATGTACGCACCAACATTTCTATTTGGATCCCGGTCTTTGCTACGCCCTCTACTTCTGCTTCTACTTCGACTCAGACCTCGGCTCTTACTCCGGCTCTTACTCCTGCCTCTTCTCCAATCATACTTCTCCCGGTAGAGTTCATTTCGGTCGTAGTACCGGTCATAATCTCTCCACTTGCCATCTTCTCTTTTTTTCTCACGTGTCCTATAATACACAGATATAAAAGCCATATATAGGCTGTAGAAACAGTTTGTACACAAATTCTAAGTATAAAGTACTCTCGATTCATCAAAATTCATTAACATCTGTGCTTTGTAGAAAATTGTTAAGACCACCATGTAGTTATTCTAATCCATTACAGAAAAAGGAAAAAATATTCCCACTTCAAGTACACTCAGGGAGAAATAGAAATGAAGGGGTGAACCCAAAGTACAAGAAGTGGGGGGAAGGGCTTGGGAACAGAAATTAGAACTGAAAAAGAAAAAAAGCTAAAAACAAAGTTTTTATAAACAAAGACCAGTTATTTTGATGACAGGTTGTTGAATCCACATACAGAGTGCCCATCAGTAATATAAAATGACAAGGATAATGCTAAGACAGAGCACCCCTAGCCAAATGGAACATTTCATTATTATTCTCTAAGGAGAATACTCCCACCCCTGAGCTCTTGGGGAAAACATATAATGATGATTGTTTATAAAAGGAATACAAAGTAAGGCACAAGTCAAAAGCCAAAAGGTAATATTCTCAGTTCTTACTGGATTTAGCAAGAGAGGAGTCAGTACATACCTTACTAATCATTTTAAAGCCCTTGCAAGGGCAACAAAAAAGAGAGTTATCAATTTCTCACTAATTAAAAGGTTATCACAAACCTCCGTTCTCCAGATTCTGAACGAGTCTTTGGGGGGCTAGGGTATTTCTTTTTTCTAGACTCTCGTTCCTCCTCTGCTGGTTCCTGAAAAACCTATATGAAAATATTCATTAAAGATGAGAACAGTTCTTCTATATATTACAAAGCACAGTTACCTGATAATCTTTCTAGCACAAGAGAGGAGAAATAAATGTAATGGCAGGCCTAAGTCAAATTATCCAAACAAAAGTAAAAAAGAGGCTCAAGGTCTGGGTACTGCTGGCCCTCCCCTTTAATCCTAGTATTCAGGAGGTTGAGATCTGAGGATCTGGGTCCAAAGCCAGCCCAGGCAGGAAATTCTGTGAGATTCTCATCTCCAATTAAACACCAGAAAACCAGAAGTAGCACTGTAACTCAAAGTGATAGAGCACTAGCTATGAACAATAGCTTTGAGAAAAAGAGCTCAGGGACACAAAGGCCCTGAGTTCAAGCCCCAGGAATGACTAAAAAAAATTAAAAATTAAAATAAATGACTAAAAAAAATTAAAAATTAAAATTAAAAAAGAGGCTCAGGAGCCAAGCACAGTAGCTTATGCCTATCTGGGAAATAGAGGGAGACAGAAAAATCATGGTTGAAGGTCAATCTGAGCAAAACAGTAAGATCCCATCTCAAAGAAAAAGCTAGAAGCTGGTCACCGGTGGCTCACACCTGTAATCCTAGCTACTCAGGAGGCTGAGATCTGAGGATCATGGTTCAAAGCCAGCCTGGACAGGAAAGTCCCTGAGACTCTTATCTCCAATAAACCACCAAAAACCAGGAGTGGTGCAATGGCTCAAGTGGTAGAACACTTGCCTTGAGCTAAAGAGCTGAGGGACAGCACTCAGGCCCAGAGTTCAAGCCCCACAACTGACCTCCCTCCCCCCGCCCCCAAAAAAGATGCCTAAAGTACAAAGGGCTGAAGGCATGGCTCAAGTAGTACAGTGCTAACCTATAAAGCATGAAGCCCTGCGTTTACACCCCAATTATCATTAAAAATAAATAAAAATAAATTTTCAAATTATGTCAACAGGCAGCTGGGTGTGGTGCACACATACACTTGTAATCCCAGCACTAAGGAAGCTAAGAGAGGAAGATTACATATTTAAGGGCTACATAGTGGGGCTGGGAAGGTGGCTCAGTGGTAGAGTGCTTGCCTTGCATGCATGAGGCCCTAGATTCAATTTCTCAGCACCACATAAGCAGAAAAGCCAGAAGTGGTGCTGTGCTCAAGTGGTAGAGTGCTAGCCTTGAGCTGAAGAGCTGAGGGACAGTGCGCAGGCCCAGAGTTCAGGCCTATGACCAAAGGAAAAAAAGGGGGGGGGCCTACATAGCAAGACCTTGTCTCAAAAAAGAAAAGAAAAATCTGGATGTGGTAACATACAACTGTAAACCTCAGGAAGCAAATGCAGGCCATCTTGAGTTACACAGTGAGTTCTAGGCCAGCCTCAAAAATATCAAACTATAAAACAGATTACATTAATAAAAGAGAAAAGTAAAGTTTGGGAGCACATGCACAGGAGGTCCTGGTTTTGAGCACTAGTACCACAAATAAAGTTTGCAAGACCTAAACAAATTCTCTAATAAGGCCAGGTACCAGTGGCTCGCACCTGGAATCCTAGCTATTCAGGAGGCTGAGATATGAGGGTTTTTTTGTTTTGTTTTTATTGGGTTGGTTTTTTTTGTTGTTGTTGGTTTTTGCCAGTCCTAGGGCTTGAACTCAGGAGACCTGGGAGCTATCCCAGAGCTGCTTCTGCACAAGTCTAGTGCTCTACCACTTGAGCCACAGTGCCACTTCCAGCCTTTTCTGAGTAGCTTATTGATGAGAATCTCACCAACTTTCCTGCCCAAGCTGGCTTGGAACCACAATCCTCAAATCTCAGCTTCTTGAACAGCTAGAATTTCAGGCATGAGCCACCAGTGTCTGTCTTGTGAGACTCTTCTCTCCAATTAACTACTAAAAAGTCAGGAGTACAACTGTGCTCAAGTGCTAGTCTTTAACACAAAAGTTCAGTCCCAAGCCCTGAGTGCGCATGCGCGCACACGCAAGCACACCCGCACGCACACATCTCTAGTGAAAAGGCTTACTTATAAATACACAAATCAGAGGGGGGGGGGGGATGTGGCCCAAGTGGTAGAGGACTCATTTAAAAAGCCTTTATGAGGCCCTAAGTTTAAATCATATTATGACCAAAAATGAATTAATAAGTAAATAAACACAAAAATCAGGACGTTGAGGGAATATAACAATTCAATATGATAATAATTCAATAACAAAAACAATATAACAGGAAATAATTTAGTAAAATTTTAACAAAATTCTAACAACATAAAAGTGGTAACCACGATATGGCAATCATATGGTGCCAGCAAAATACTACACAATCATCAGATTGTATTGAAAAACCATCTAACAATTTACAAGAAATACAGAGGATGCAGCAGTCCACTGGGGCTTAATCAGCTACACACAGACAGTATTAAAAAAAAAAACCTTCACCGAACAAATGACTCAGTTTAAAGAATTTCAAAATTAAATTTAAGAAAGTTCCCATTCTTGATAAAGAAAAGAGGAATGAATGCAGTGTGCTTCAAAATCATAGCACAGGGCTAGAAGCAGGGCTCAAATGGAAGGGCATCTGCCTACCTGACTAACAAGTACAAGGCGTAAGTTCAAACCCAGGTACCACAAAAAAAGAAGAAAAAAAAAAAAGGCTGAAGAGCTTAACAAAATCACAGCATATTATCTTCTGTTGTTTTTCTACTGCCATCAATCCAAATTCTCTCACCTGGATTCCCATGTGGCCAATAATCTAATTATAAAACAACTTGGTAAAAACAGCTCAGGATCATGGAAAAAAGTGACGGCTAGACCTTACATCTGTCTCATACCCTGCTCAGTTTTCACTATACCAATTTCTATATAGACCAGAAATTAAGAGACAATTAGTGCCAGGTACTAGTGGCCCACACCTGAAATCCTAGCTCTCAGGAGACTAAAATCTGAGGACCAACATTCAAAACCAACCCTAGGCAGAAAAGTCCAGAAGACTCTCCAATTTAAAAGATCTAGACTGGGGCTAGGAAGGTGGCTCAGTGGTAGAGCACTTGCCTTGCATGCCTGAGGCCCTGGGTTCGATTCCTCAGCACCACATAAGCAAATACAAAAAAGCCGGAAGTGGCGCTGTGGCTCATGTGGTAGAGCGCTAGCCTGGAGCTGAAGAGCTGAGGGACAGCACCCAGGCCCAGAGTTCAGGCCCCACGACTGGACCAAAAAATAATAATAAAAATAAAAGATCTAGACTGAAAATGTGGCTCAAGTGGTAGAATGTCAATCATGAGTGAAAAGCCAAGCAAAATTGCAAGGTTCTTAGTTCAAGCCCCAATACAGGCAAAAAAACAGTAACAGCAACATCAATAGAGATGATTAGCCAGATATGCTGTCACTCTAAACCCCATTTCTCCCTCATTGTCTAACACAATAACAGTAAACCACTACATTTATGCACTATCATATAACTAAGAAAGAAAATTCTTAAAAGTGTGGATATATAGAGAGAGCAAATGGGCAAATCTTCAGTAATCCATAAAGGCAGATATTACATAGGTATTTTGGGTAATATTCACCTAATTTTGATATAAAGTTAAAATTCTTTCCAAATAATTTTTTAATGTTATTGTATCTTCAGAAACAAATGTTGGAGAAATAGTCCTACGTAACAGCTGACATTTAGTCCTTAGTATTGCTATTATCTTCCATGTTCCTGATGTTGAAGTAAGACAAGGAAGTAATCTGTTGTAGAGATGCTTTGTTAACACATGCAGCCTAATTACAGAATGCATGTTCATATCATGAACATCTATATACAAGAGAAATTACATCCCAAGCACTGGTAGTAATCCTGGCTACTTAGGAAGCTGACATCTGAGGGGCAATCCTGGGCAGGAGGATAGGGAAGTCTGTGAGACCCTTCTCTCCAATTAAGAAGAAAGAAATATATAGAAAGACAGACAGACAGAAAGAAAGAAAGAAACAAACAAACAAAAACAAAAACATTAAAATGAACATTGTTAAATTCCTATCTTGGTCTGAACAATTTAGGTTGCCACCTAAATCAGACTTTTAAACTTCAACATTCCAAAAATCATTTTCTCTTTCCAAATTGATACTAATATTGCAGGCAAGTCAACTATTATTTAAAAACCATATGTTTAGAAAGAGTAAATGGTAGCCAGGTGCCAGTGGCTTACATCTTTAATCCTAGCTACTCAGGAGGCTGAGATCTGAGGATCATAGTTGAAAGCCATTCCAGGAAGGAAAATCTGTGAGACTATCTCCAATTAACTCCCAGAAAACTGGAAGTGGTGCTGTGGCTCAAAATGGTAGAGCACTAGCCTTGAGAGCTCAAGGACAGCGTCCAGGCCCTGAATTCAAACCCCATGACCGACCTCCCCGCACCCCGAAAAAAAGGAGTAAATTGTTTCCTCCTATATATGAAAATCTGCTACATTATGAGCTGTGAAGTTCCATTAATACTTTACTTCAGGTCTCTATTTCACCAAGTTTTCCTTTTCTAACAAGTCACTGGGTATCTCTTAATTCCTCAAAACCTATCTAAAAAATTTCCAAGTCTTCAGGCCCAAGGAATTTAGAAACCTGTTAGAAATCTGTTACATGCTCCAAACCTACAAATTTCAATCAACAGAAAAAGACTTCTAAAAAGCTCAAGTTCCAATTAAGAATAGTGATGACTGGATCTAAGAAGCTTCCTAAAGTAAGAGAAAATTTTTGTATTACCTCTTCTTTACTTTCTTCTTTTTCTTGGACTAGTGGTTTTGGCTCCGGCTTAACTGGCTCCAAAGGTGGAAGGTAGTTCTTAGTATAAAGGCTCTCAAATAGTTTGTCCACAAAACCTGAAGTTTCTAAGGAAAAGATGTAATATTTAAGCATTAAACAAAAGCCCTAAATTTACAGTTAGCAAAGCTTTAGGAAAACAGGAACTCTTGCATATTGCTGGTGGGGTTTTCTGGAGAAAAGCTCCTTGTAAAAGTGAGAATTATCTTAAAGAAAATCTCGATTTCAGGTTGTTGTTGTTAATCCTTCTGAAATAACTGCATATATGAAAGTGCTATAAATATAAGATTAGTTATTGGCTTTGAAAGAGGAAAAGACTAGAAGCAACCAAATTTCCAAAAATAAGAAATTAGTAAAATAAACTATAGGATAATCATATAAGAGAATACAAAACATTTATAAAAAAGAATGAGAACTGATAATAATACCAGATCTCAAAGACAAAAGACAGTAATTTTATGTGTTTAGCTGCAAAAAAAAAAAAAAACACTGAAAGGGCCAGGTGCTGGTGGCACATGATGAAAATGATATAAAAAAGTAGTTTTGCATTTTAAAAGCTATTCTGTTTTGAAACTTTTTCAAATTAATGGAATCATAGAACCAGATAAATATACTAAAAGTATGCCAAAATATTTAAAGTGCTATTAAAATCCAATCTAAGTAATTATCATTGGTTTTGCCTAAGGAATAGCAAAACCATACTAAAAACCCAGATAAAGGGCTAGGCATGGTGGTATATGCTACTGTCTCCCAGCTACATAGGAGAACCAAGGTTTGAGGCCATCCCAGAAAAAATTAGCAAGCCGGGCGCTGGTGGCTCACGCCTGTAATCCTAGCTACTCAGGAGGCTGAGATCTGAGGATCGAGGTTCAAAGCCAGCCCGGGCAGGAGAGACCATGAGACTCCTATCTCCAATAAATCACCAGAAAACCGGAAGTGGCGCTGTAGCTCAAGTGGTAGAGCACTTGCCTTGAGCTGAAGAGCTGAGGGACAGCGCCCAGGCCCAGAGTTCAAGCCCCACGACCGACCAAAAAAAAAAGAAAAGAAAAAATTAGCAAGACCTTATCTCAAAAACAAGCTAGAGGCCAGATGCTGGTGGCTCACACCTGTAATCCTAGCTATTGCGGAGGCTGAGATGTGAAGATTGCATTTCAAAGCCAGACCTGGCAGAGAAGTCCATGAGACTCTTTTCTCCAATAAACTAAAGAAAAAGCTGGAAGTGGTGCTATGGCTCAAGTGGTAGAGCCGCTAGCCTGGAACACAAAGAGGCTCAGGGACAGAGCCTACACCCTCAAGCCCCAGGACCAGAAAAAAAAACCCTAGGGAACTGGAAACATCCTCAAATAGTAGAGCACTAGCCATGAGTGAAAAACAAGCCAGGCATGGTGACACATAACTATCATCCCACCTACCCTAAAGGCAAAAGGGAGAATATCCACCTAGAGAGGTTTTGAGTTCAATTCCCAATATGGGAAAAAAGTACTTTAGTGAAGATGGGGAAGGGAGGGGAGTGGAGGGGAACTATGACTGGGCTCCAGTAGCTCATATGCCTGTACCTGTAATCCTAGCTACTCAAGAAGGCTGAATTCTGAGGATCACAGTTTGAAGCCAGCCCAGGCAACAAAGTTCATGAGACTCTTATATCTAATTAATCACCAAAAAGCTGGAAATGGAACTGTGGTTTAAATGGTAGTTCAAGCCCCAGCACCAGCAAAAAGAGAGAGAAACAGAGAGGTGAGGGAAGAGGGAAAGAGAGGGAGAGGGAGAGAGAGAACTGGAGGTGTAACTGAAGTGGTTAAGTCCAGACATGGGTAAAAAAGCTAGGTGACAGAGTGAGGCCCTGAGTTCAAGCTCTAGTAAAAAGAAAGAAGAAAAAGGAGATGAAGGAGGGGAGGGAAGAAGGGAGTGGAAGGGAGGGAAGAGGAAGGAATTACAAAGTATACTTTCATTTAATATCACCTTAATATGTAATATAAACACAGACATCTATCTGAACTGTACCAACCAATAATCTAATACAGTCATGTGTAGCTACTTACATTAATCAAACAAAGTTTAAAACTCAGTTTCTCAGCCTTATGCACCATATTTCAAGGACTGAATAGCCAGGAAGGCCTAATGACCACTGCATAAGAAAAATGCAGGTATTATCCCTATCTACCACTGAAGAAAGCTCTACTGGACAATGCTCCTCTAGAAAACCATACACCAACATGGTAACAGTGATTTTTGTCTCTGTGGTAATCTTTTTTTTTCTTCCCTTTAAGGTCTATTTTCTATTAGGTTGAGAGGGATGGGGGAAAATGTTGAAAGCGTTGACATCAATCAAGATACAAACAGATTTGCCGCATGGTAACTTTTTTGTACAACTACCTGAACAAAAACACATTTTAAGTTGGTGGGATTTTGTGTGTGTATGTGTGTGTTTGTTGGTCATAGGCCTGGGCACTGTCCTGAGCTTTTCTGCTCAAAGCTAACTCTCTACCACTTTGAGCCACAGTTCGACTTTCAGTTTTCTGACGTTTAACTGGAGATAAGACTTTCTTGCCTGAGCTGACTTCTAACCATGATTCTCAGATCTCACCTTCTGAGTAATTAGGATTACAGGTGGAGCCACCAGCACCCAGCAAAGAGTTGTATTTTACAGTTCCTCATGTGTACTTCTTTCATAATAAAAAGTAAGCAAACTTTTTATAAGCAGATTTTCTGAATTATCCACACATACATTTGCTTCTTACCCAAAATATCTTTTCTATATTTTTTGCTTTTTTTTTCACAACTCTACACTTAATATAAGACTCATTTTTAAAGTTAATACATTTAGAATGCATTTAGAATCCATATTATGGAAGAATTCTGTATGATTTCAGTATTTGCTTTCATTTTGTTTTATACCAAAAAAGCCTTAAAATATGTGGGGAAAAAAGTAACTCTGTGTCTTATGAATAAGAAGCCAATTTCTGTCTTTTTGTCTTCTGTAGATATTTGAATTAAAGGGTATTTCATCACCAATATCTAATTCAACTGGTGTGATCCACACTCCTATTCATTCATTTGATAATACTTTCAAACATTGACAAATCAAGTCTTTATTTTCAACAAGGGAAGACAAAGGGAGGAGGACAAATAGGCAAAAAATATAGGACAGAGCCAGGTGCTGGTGGCTCACACCTGTAATCCTAGCTACTCAGGAGGCTGAGATCTAAGAATCATGGTTCAAAGCCTTCCTAAGCAGAAAAGTCTGTGAAAACTCTCAGATCCAATTAACCACCAAAAAGCCAGAAGTGATGCTGTGGCTCAAGTGGTAGGGCGCTGGCCTTGAGTTGAAGAGCCCAGGGACAGTGCCCAGGCCCAGAGTTGAAGCACCACGACCAACAAAAATAATTATTAATTACAAATTATATATGTATGTGTGTGTGTGTGTGTGTGTGTGTGTGTGTGTGTATGTATGTATGTATGGCAGGAACAATGAGTATCATGAAAAAGAAAGCAGTGTCGGAAGAAGGATGAAGTGACTAGGAGCATGAGGTGCTCTACAGTAAATAAAGGGTACACAAGGAAAACTATCCAGAGATGACATTTGAAGAGAGACCAAAAAGAAGCAAGGGAGCACTCTATCTTTCAGGTAAAAGTAAAATGGGTTCAAAGGCACTGAGCTGGAGACATATTTTGCCATATTCAAAACACAGGAAAGGGTCAATGTGATGGTAGTGAAACAAGTGCAGCAGGAAAGTAGGAGATATTTAAGAGAAAGCAAAGGAAGGAAATCTCAAGGATGCTCTGTATAACACAGAAAGGTGGAAAGAGAAAAGGATTATGTTCATATCTTCTTGGATAAAAAGCCATAGACAAGAAGAAAAGGAGGGAAAAACAAAAAAATCAAAAAAAATGATGGGTTCATTATCTTAGCAAGAATAAACACCTTCACTGTAACTGTTCCTAGTCTACTTCAACTAGGCTCTGCCAAGAGCTATAAAAGACCGGAATAACCTAAAGGAATTAGAGCAGTCACCGTCTCAATAAAAGGAAGAAGATAAAAGGAAAAGGGGAAAAAAAAAAAACCTCTTCTGCCAAAACACATAAACAGTAATTACACAAGATTGGGTATATAAAGCATTCAAAGGAACCTGATTACTTTCCTTCCTATAAAGCTATACCTTTAACAAGATTTTTGTTGTTTTTTGTTTTTAAGAAAGGGTCTTGCCTGTAACCCAGTCTGGCCTAGAACTCACCATCTTCTGCCTCGGCCTCTTGAGTATTAGGATTACACAGGTGCCACTGTGTCCTCCTCTTTTCAAGAAGTTTTAAATTCAATCTAAATACTTAATAAAGGTCCACAATAATTACCTTTTTGTAAAAAGACATCGAGTTGATCAGCACAAAAGGCTTTCAATTCTTTCTCAGGCTTGTCCTTCTTGACCAGTGCTACAACATAGTTGGCTAAGGCGGAGGGGTCAGCATCACATCTAGGTAGACAAAGAGAAAACAAAAAGTTCAAAACACTGTTTTCAAACAGTGGCATCATTAATGAAGTCACCCTACTTTGGAAAACTGAATATCAAAGCTGTATTTTTGAAAGTGACTGCAAACACAAGCAACTACTGTTAACCAACAGCCCATACATACTGTCAGATTTTCTTTTTCTGCTTATTTCTACAAAATAACTAGCTTGTCTCTTATTTCAAAGGTTGTAATTATACCAAGAATCTTAGATAAGGATGTATGTTTATTTGTTCTCTCAATGACAACAGTGGAACCTGATTCTTGTCATTTGGCTCCAGCACTATTCATAACACACTCAAGAACTGTTTCCATGTGACCAATGAGAAAAAACAGAGAAAATATAGGACAGATTTCCCCTTTTGTCAAAGCACCATTCCCTACAACCACAAGCTCCAGCATCCCAAAATGGCCATCTACTCCACTGCTAATCCTCTGAACATAGAAAATCTTTGCAGAAAGTGAAAACAAGCTGAAGGTTCACACCTGTAATCCTAGCTATTCAGAGAAGGCCAAGAGTTATAAGTTTAAAGTTCAAAGCCAGCCCAGGTAGGAAAATCTGCAAGACTCCAACTCCAGTTAACCAGCAAAAAGCAGGCCTCAAAGCATGGATGGCTCAAATGGTAGAACTCAAATGGTAGAACATTATCTGTGAGCAATCAAATCAAGCAAGAGTGTAAGGCCCTGGGTTTGAGGCCTTGAGTTCAAGCCCTGGTACCAGCAAAAAAGTAAATAAAATTTTTAAAAGTGAAAAGAGGAAGATGACTCCTTAAATACAAGGGGCAAATATTTCAAGCTACAAACAAAGGAAAGATCTAGGGGCTAGAAATAGAAGAGAACCTTATCTGCTTCACATTTTTTCAAGTCAGTAGTAACCTGACTTTGAAAGCCAAAAGTATCTCCCATTTCAGGGAAGCATATGCTCTGCGCTTGCCAACTTCTAACATATGCCAATTTGTCAGCCTTAATGTTTCTCTGTATCCTATGAAACTAAAAGCTCTTCATTTCCAAAAAGTTCTTATTTCTCAATGAATGCATAGTTAAACAACTCTTACCTATTGTGGCCTCATAGGGCTGTTATAAAGATAAAATGAAAAAAATCAGGATGGTAGTAAATAAAACAATTATGCTAAGCGTTCAACTCCCTATAAAACAATATTCAATCTAACCTTGTATAATAATCATTAAGTCTTTCACTGTCAACTACAAAATTAAAAGGTTTCATCTTTAGAGTATTAACCACTGCCCAGTGCTGATGGCAACCAGCCCAGGCAGAAAAGTTTAAGACTCTATTTCCAATTAACCAGCAAAAAAAGAAAAGAAAAAGCTAGATTGAAAGGGTGGCATAAGTGATAGAATGCCAGCCCCAGTACTATACAAAAAAATTAGAATAGTATCAATTACATTTCCATCAAATTTTATGATTAGAAAAGGAGAAGAAAAATCAAGGTAACACCTTTACCTTTTAATTTTTCAAGATCATGCTTCAATAAAACATAGTCTTTTATTGTCAATATTTTCATGGGAAAGGCTGGTTCTCACTGGGCGATGGTGGCTGTGGCTCACACCTATAATCCTAGCTACTCAGGAGGCTTCCATCTAAGGATCAGTGTTCCAAGCCTGAGCAGGAAAGTCCCTGAAACTCTTATCTCCCTCCAATTAACCTCCAGAAAACTAGAAGTGGTGCTGTGGTTCAAATGATAGAGCACTTGCCTTGAGCTCAAGAGCTCAGCGACAACACACAGGCCCAGAGTTCAAGCCCCACAACTGACAATAAAAATTTTTTAAATTTAAAAAAGCCCTATTCTCTAAAGATCTATGCACCTAAATTTCATTTACTGTCAATTTAACAAAACAGAGCTAATTTTAAGAATTATAAGCAAAGGTTAAAGTGTGCTAGACTGTTAGAAGTGGCAAAAATGAAATACTAATAACAAAATTGGGCCCTGCAGCTTGTGGCACTTACCTATAATCCTAGCTATTCAGGAGGCTGAGATCTAAGGATCTATAAGCAAAACCAACCAGAACAGGAAAGTCCAAAAAACTTTTATCTCCAATTAACCGCCAAAAACCTGAAGTGGAGCTGTGACTCAAATGGATGAGCATAAAAGCTCAGGGACAGCAGCCAGACTCTAAGTTCAAGCCCCAAGACCAACACTAAATAAACAAATAAAATTTGGAGAATTAGGACAGATCACTTTAGCATATTCAATAGCTAAATTCTAAAGTGAATGTACACATGTTGTATATTTACATTTTTTTTAATCTTCTATTTCAACTGAAGCTTTATAATGTCACAACAATAATCAGAGTGCCTCATCAATAACAACCACTTTGATAACCCAAGTGATATCCCACTTTGATAGATTTCTTTAATACCCAGAAATTAGACCCCTGACTTAGCTCTCTTTCAGTTATTTAGACAGTGTGGACAATTCAAGAGTCAACTTTCTCTGTAGGAATGGATGAGAATGATGAAAAGGCTATCATGATGAATTGAACTCATAAACGGTAGAATGGCAACTTCCTGTATAAGTACTTAAAATAATAAAAACATAATTTACAACATATCAATTTTATACATCATCACCCTGTGGCAGCAAAATTTCAAACTAAGAAGTTCAAAGCCTAAATTGCATAGACTCTGTGTGTCTCTTTGTTGGATCTGTCCTGTTCATAGTGGTTCCATGGAAGGTGAGCCATTCCCCAGGTCCACAGTGGGGCCAGCGCTGTTGCAGAGGGAGAGAATGTGGTTGCTCCTCTATTCTTGTTTGACTTAAGAAGCCTGGTAAAAATGTTCAAGATGGCTTCTGGACAGTTTAGAAGATGTTCTTGGAGCAAACTGGCTATCCATGCTACTGGGTGGATCAGATATTCTTGCCACTGCTTGTTGGTCCTCTGGCCATCAGTGTAGGCTCTCAGGTTAGGTCCAGGGGAAGCTGGTCGGACCCCCATCCGAAGTGGAGGGGGGTAGCAAATCCACTGGGGAACCTAGCCCCGTAAGGCCACCAATGAAAAGATCAATGAAAGGATGTTTCACATCCATGCCAGGGAATCACGTGGAGGCAGGCAGGCACAGGAGAAAGACTATTACAAGGTTTATTAGAGGAGCTTTATTTCTCCCAGAGAGAGAACACATGGCAGCCTCCACTATCTAGATAGCAGCAGGGTTAGGAAGTGATATATTTACATTTTCTAAGTGAGTACATCTTAAAGGTTCTAACCATATACAGTACACACAAAAAGATAAGCTATGTGAGGAAGATTAATATGTTAATTACCTTAACTGTACTAATCATTTTTCAATACATATGTATTTCAACATTTTAAAAAGGAACATCTTAAACATGTGATTTTTATTTTTAAAATTTGACTAAAATCAAAACAAAAAAAGATAGCGATATGCAATTCCATCTTCAAAAAAATACCACACATGCCATGATCATCTTTGCTATTCCTTAAAATAGATGTACTGGGAGACTTAATTTCACCTAAGAATAACAGACCATTATAATCCCAATCAATGTTCAAAAAAAATGACATTTCTATGTTTACTCAGAAAGCTAAGATTCTGATAAGGATAGTGTAACACAGAAAAATATATAGGAAAAAGAAAGCAGAAAATGTCATGTTATTTTTCTGGTGAATTTTTAAGTAGTCTAATGACCTGATATATATAACGCTGGGTAGAAATAAAGAGTTTTCTATTAAGAAACAAGAAAGGGCTAGGAAGGTAGCTCAGTGGTAGAGTGTTTGCCTTGCATGTGTGAGGCCCTGGGTTCGATTCCTCAGCACCACATAAGCAGAAAAAGTCCTAAGTGGCACTTTGGCTCTAATGGTAGAGTACTAGCCTTGAGCTGAAAAGCTGAGGGACAGAGCCCAGGCCCAGAGTTCAGGCCTCATGACCGACAAAAAAAAAAAGAAAGAAACAGGAAAAATACCCAGATTATTAGATTAACTGGAGTGAGCTAAAAAGGTCCAGTATTTTGTTTACAATAATTTAGTATACAGACATAAACACAGAGTTTAGGCTGCTTTTGATGAAATAGAATTGATATTATGGTATTAAAAATCAAGATGGGACAGGGGCAGATGGCTCACACCTGCAATTATCATCTACTATGGAGGCTGAGATCGGAGGATCACTTTGAAGCAATCTGGTCAGTTAAATCCATGAGATTATTATCTCCAATTAACCAGCAAAAAGTGGACGAGTGACAGTTAAGAGTGCCAGCCATGAGTGGAAAGACTGAGGGAAAACAGGAGGCCCTGATTTCAAGTCCTAGTATGTATTGGCATGGACTTAAAAAAAAAATAGTTAAGGGTAAATAGACAGGCAAAACATATCAAAACAGGGGAGGTATAGGTGGCTCACACCTATAATCCTTAGGAGACTTAGCAATTTATAATCCTTATAATCCTTAGCAACTTTGGAGACTGAGATCTGAGGATCTAGATCTCAGTTTGAAGCTAGCAGGGGCAGGAAAGTCAGTGAGACTCTTATTTCCAATTAACCACCAAAAAGCTTTAAATAGAGCTGTGATTCAAGTGGTAGAGTGCTAGTCTTGAGCAAAAAAGCTCAGAGACAGTATCCAGTTCCTGAGATCAAGCCCAAGGACCAGCATGTCGAGAGAGCTAGAGCTAGAGCGAGAGCGAGAGCGAGAGCAAAAGAGAAGAGAAAACAGACTAGATTTTGGGCCCAGTACTAGTGTGTCATGCCTATAATCCTGGCTACTAAGGAGGCTGAGATTTGAGGATCAAGGCAGCAAAGTGATTACCAAAAAGCCAGAAGTGAAGCTGTGGTCCAAGTGGTTGAGTGCCAGCCTTGGGCAAAAGCCAAGAGTGCAAGGCTCTAGGTTCAAGCCCCAGTGCCTGCACCAAAAAGGAAAAAGAAAAGACTAGACTTGGAAAAGAATGATTACAGATTCTACACAATTGCTTAATGGGAATTAACCAAATGATTGTT